ATTTTTGGGATATTAAAAGACCAAAAACCCTATGGCTATAACTACAGCCCATTGTTCTTAAATGAAGCCGTTGTCTTAGCAAAATGGTTGTTGAAATAACTGTCTTGTGCAGGACGAATGCAGATCATCGAAGGTCTGTAGCAGCCTGTTTGGTTCAGGGCGTCTACAGTTTGCAGCATGACCGCCATCGCCATGAGAAGCGTGAAGATTCACAAGCTCTGGCTCCTCCTTGGTGGGAGTCCTTTCATTTTGAGTTGCTTGATCGACTTGTTGATGCTGCTGATCTTTCCATCTTCGGTGCCATTTACGAATATAAACCTCCGCCCTCTCATTGTAATGACTCAATTGAACAGCGCCCTCGTTATGTAATTGCTTTCCGAGGTACCTTGAAGAAAATAGACACTGTCTTAAGAGACGGTGAGCTGAGTTTCTACTTAATCCAAAATAGACTCCACCAAAAATCTCGCTTTAAGATTGGCGTGCAAGCTGTTCAAGATAAGGTAGCTGCTGTTGGTGATTCAAATGTCTGGTTGGCTGGACATTCCTTAGGGGCAGCCATGGCAATGCTGGCTGGAAAGACTATGGCCAAAAGAGGCATATTTCTAGAATCATTCCTCTTCAATCCACCTTTTGTTTCTGTCCCAATTGAGAGAATCAACAATAAGATTTTGAAGAATGGGATCCGAATTACAGGCAGTGTAATAACAGCAGGACTAGCTCTCGCTGTGAAGGCAAAGAATCAGAACCAGAGGAATGTCTCTGGGGATCCATTTGCTGCTTTGTCTGCATGGTTGCCTTGTCTATTTGTCAATCAAGCCGACCCCATATGCTGTGAATATATTGGTTATTTTGAGCATAGGAGACAGATGGAGAAGATTGGAGCTGGATGTATTGAGAAAATAGCAACACAACATTCATTTGGAAGTCTACTAAAGAGTGCTGAGGGGAAGGATTCAGAAGCTGCAGAGCCTGTCCACTTGATTCCTTCAGCAAATCTGACAGTTAATCAAACTCCTACTGAGGATTTCAAGAATGCTCATGGCATTCACCAGTGGTGGAGACCTGATCTAGACTTGCACCCCAAGCTTTACAGGTATTGGTAAATTTTAGTGATTTTGTGTGCTATTATTATATTGTATATATATGCCTTTGAGGAATTCTAAAATGTCTCATATTGCAGTTGGAACATATAGATCCATCTTCCCCATCTACTGGAGAAAGGAAGAAGAAAAGAAAAGAAAAAGAAATCGTTCCCATTTGTTATGTAGTAGTGCTTGTTTGGTGTGATTAGAGCTTTTAATAAAAGTTCTATTGGAAAGAAATTGTTGTAGAAGTACTGATTTTAATTTTATTAAGACTCAAATCAGAAGCTCTTGCAGAAGCATCAATTCGGTGCTTCTGAGATTTGCAATGGAATGGAGAAAAGATTAGCTTATGAAAAGTTAGAGCATATTTCACAAGTTATAATGTTTGGTGCAGGTTGTGCTTTTGAACTCAAAACGTCCTTCTCACAAGTTATACCAAACAGGCCCGTAATCCATTAATTAGTTGGATTTGTTGCCTTTATTGCTATAATCTTGTATTCTTGTTTTGAACTTTCCTTAAACAGGGGGTCTCAAACTTTGAATCATTAAAAATGGAGTCTGTTTACTTACCCCATCCTCCATTCTTTTCTCTAGTTCATACAC